TGCTCTATTTGAAAAGTATCCTAAGATAACTTCTGTTATGAATTGGCGCTATTTTAGAGATATTTATTTATAAATAAAACTGAATTGAATTGAAATTGAATTGAAAACTAATTTGAATTGGTGTCTTCCTGTGAGGAGATTTAATGGTAAACACTGGAGCTATGATAAATACTAATAGTACACAGTATGTAGTGCATACTGATTTTCATAATGTACTGTTTTGTCAGTACACATAAAATCACTACTAACAGGATATCATTCTTTTTAACTGCTTCCGGTGTTCACTGGTGAATGGATCCATACTGTCTATCTGCCTTTAATAAACTATTCACATCTTCTTCTGTTATCGACATGTCTGGCTCCCTCTCACAGTGCGCCTCCATCTCCCCGGTGTGTGTGGACCTGGCGGACTGGGGGGCCACGGAGGCGGCCCTGCAGGACATCGGCCCCATCGATCTACTGGTGAACAACGCTGCCTGTGCCAGCCTGCAGCCCTTTCTGGAGGTCACACCTGACCAGTTTAACCAGTAAGACAAAAAACAGATACTGCAACAGCAAATCCAGCACAATGTAGACCAGATATGAGCCAGACTACACTGGTCCATCTGTTTATTATGTTCTATGGTGTCTTTCATCTCCAGCTCATTCGATGTGAATGTGAAAGCTGTGTTGCATGTCTCCCAGGTACAGTAATGACTCCATTTGCTTTTTGCTGTTCTTCTTTTTGTTGTAAACTGACTAAATGTAGATCAGGACCTGAAATGGGCCAGTATGCCAGTACTGAGTATGGCACATTTGATTTTTGTCCAATTAAGTACCCTTCTTGTTTCATACCACCACCTCTTCGTGGGTCTAGTATGTATCCCTAAACACCCCACCCTGTTTTTTTTCTCCGTCCGGCATTCCGCGTACTCCCGCCCTATTCTGCCTCTGATTAGCTGTTTGGTTCATCGACATATAAAAGATGGTCGTCATGCCACATTCATGTTACTGACTGAACACGCTATATCAGCGATGGCTGTCAGAATGTAGAGTTATTTAAAACTCATTATAAAAAAAAATATCACTTACAAAAACCTTTCAATTTAAATGTCTGCTTAATCAAACTGCTTCTGTTTAGTCAAACGGAGCTCTGTGTCTTTGTCTCTGGTCAGATAGTGGCTCGTGGTATGAAGGCCAGAGGATCAGGAGGCTCTATTGTCAACTTATCCAGCCAGGCATCACAGTGTGCCCTAAGAGACCACGCTGTCTACTGTGAGTACTAGAGGAAACAGCTTGTGGCAGAATTCACCTGGAGCCTCTCTTAGGAGAAAATTATTGAAATGAAAGTAGCTGCGAGAGGTGTTCTGTACATGTGCAAACAAATCTTAATGGAATCACTGTCTGCTAAAAGTCACTGACTGAATCAGTGGCTTTTAGCAGTGGTGGTTAAAAGCTTACTAGAAGAAGCCAAAGAAACATTTTGGTGTGATTGCAGACAGCTAACAGCTAAACTATTAACCGTATAAACAGTGGGGTCATTCATAGCCTGTTAAAGCAACACTATGTAAGATTTTGGTTACCACTGTGGTAAATATGGACACGAGTATTTGTTAGGATTACATTACTAATGATCAAAACAAGTGCAACAACAAGACATAGCAAGCCGGCTAATATTACTGAGTCCAACAGCTAGAAAGCCAGCTCGCCATCTGTCTGCTGTTAAAACAATAATTAAAAATTATTTAGTTTTTTGTCTTCAATAACCGAATGAATTGATTTTCCATCGCACATTAAAATCAAATCACAATACAGTGAGGAGGTGTATTGCATTTCAGTGTTGTCCTGCAGGGGGCACCATAGACCTGCCAATAATAAATACAGAGCACTGTCATTAGCATTGATGTGGAGGGGGGGTAAAAGGGAGCTTTTTTTGTTTAAGAGGAAGATGCATCATCCATGCCAACATGAAAAAACAATCAACTGTCCAATCACAGCTTTGGAGGCAGGACTTTGGGCATGGCTTATCCGTGACGGTTAACTGATGTCAGCTAGTAATGGGCAGACCAACTCTTTTCACAGAATTCCTTTGAGTTGATACATGTAAATGTATCGAACCTTTTGAGTTTTTATCCTTTTTCCAAATATGGCCTCAGTTTCTACATGACATAGTACATGCATGTTTGACAGCTAGTGCTGCCTGCCCCACAAAACTTCTCTTAAAAGGCAGTACCAGTCATCATGTATAAGTGTACATTAATAAGAATAAAATGTTCATTTTAATGTATTGATTTAGTATCCCATTTGTAGGTAGGCTATGTACAGTAGACAATTTAGGGGAGATGCCATACCCCTTGTTAGCCAAATGACCAAAATGCTCGTTGTTAACTTCTAGCCATCCATCCTCTCCATTCCCTAGTAGCAGGGAGAGTACAGGGGCAGAGGGGTTTCCATGCTCATATTGAAGAGCAAGGTCTTTGTGTTTTCTGTCATTGTTCAGGTGCCACTAAAGGAGCTCTGGACATGCTGACTAAAGTGATGGCCCTAGAGCTGGGACCCTACCAGGTACCCTCACGCTTACACAGCACGGCAGCTTTCCTTGATATTATTTTGGCTCATTAGAATTTAAAGTAGACTACATCTAGTTCTACATCATTCACAGATGATCAGAAAAATAAAGTCTAGAAAAAGTAGTCTAGACATGTTCTACTTCTACATCTGTTATAAAATTGAATTGAATTAAATCTATTCAAATAGATTTTCTCTATAGTACAATCATTTTATCCCCTCTCACTATAATTCCTGTACACTTGGCCTGACTTGCTCTGCTATGAGCAGTAGCTTATTGTGGTTAATGTTAGGTAATGTTGGCAAACAAGTATTAATGAATATTATTAAAGTACTACTAAATTAAATTATTTTAACCCATTCAACACCCAATTATGTTCCAAATACAAACAATTCTGCTATAGTGGATTTATGGTCTACATGCACTCATAAATCATAAACAATAAAAAAAAGATTAAAAAACTTTGTTATGCCCTGTTTTTTCTGTCCATTTCAATGGCTAGACTTAAATGTACCTTACATTTGCTCTTTGCCTTATGGTCGGCCATGTTGCTGTAAACGGGGGTGTGGCTCTACTGCAGTCCTCTTTAGATGATGTGGAACACTATGATTGGCTTATAGACATTTAATCAAACAGGTTTGGTGATTTGGGTGGAGTCAGATGACAATAATCAGTGATCAATTCAATACACCTTATTAATAAATAACATTTAAAAAGCTAAAGTAAGGAGCTGTTTAAGCACAGAGTAAGGATCTCAATGGTACTCTCACTGATGGATGTTGGAATTGTTTTAACTGAAATGTTGTGTTCTGATCAGATCCGTGTGAACAGTGTGAACCCCACTGTGGTGATGACAGAGATGGGTCGCCTGGGCTGGAGCGAACCCGAAAAAGCCAAGACCATAACGTCTCGCATACCCCTAGGCCGCTTTGCAGGTCAGACACCATAGCCTGTGTACACACTATTGACACAGCAGGCGACAGCACCTGGTTTATCTTCTCAGGAGATTGTACGGCAAATACACAGATTCTCTTTTGATTCTTCCACTCTGTAATACAGTGACATGTAATTTCAGATCCATCTTTTGTACAGCTTGTATGCATTAGGTTAAAGGGAAGGTGCACCATGGAAAGGTTTCCGGTCCATCTGGTTACTACCTGCACATCTTAAAGGAATAGTTCAACATTTTGGGAAATATGATGATTTGCTTTCTTTCCCAGAGTGACGAAGAGACTGATATCACAATACTGTATATAGGATTTTACATGGAATTTCTCCCAGCTACATTCACAGCTATTATAAGAAATCATAACACAAGAACTAGTGTAACAAATCTTAATAGTTTTTTTGTAAGATTGGTAAGTTTGTGTGATACAGTATTCTAGTTAATATCCTGTTAGAATTACTAATAATGTAATTATTAAATTAATTAATTACATTTCAAAGTAATCTGACCAAATCCTGGTTATATCTCAGTGTGTCTAATATATCAGTCTCTGTCTTGATAAAGGTTGGTGGACAGTGTAAACACCAACGACAATGAGGGGGAATAAGTCCTGGACTATATCATTCTTTATCATTGTAAGCAGGAGCGGAGCCAGACCTTGGGGTGTCTGGGGAGATTTTTTACCCATTTACAGATGCTATATGCTGCTATTTTTTCAACCCATTTGTGATAATAAAATGCCTAAAGACAAAAACATGATAAAAAAAACTCCATTGTTTTCCAATTGTCTTTATCATTCAAGAACACAACACATGTTGAGGATGACTAATTTTCACTCCTGCCACCTACAAAAAGGCTAAAGTTCTTATTCTTCTATAGGTATTTTCAAGTTGCATAACTTGGTGGAATTTGGTATGAACAGCATTACTAATCTTCAAACCTATTTTTCTTACATTATGCAAGAGTAGAGTTCACAGAATGAATGTTTAGCTGACAAATCTGCTACATGTGAACCCATCCCATAATACTCTAATAGATGGCCATATTTCCCCACTAATAGAACTTGGCACAAGGTTAAAGTTATTTTAAAAGCCTAAAACATTTGGGGTTTCTGAGAAAACATTTTGAGCTGGAGCTTCAGAATTATCCGTTTCCCCCTGCTTTCAGTCTCCATGCTAAGCTAGGCTAACTATGTCCTGACTCCAGTTCTGCGCTACACACATCTTCCCATCTCACTCTTATCATGAATAAAATTGTGGACTAGTTCTTGAAATTTAGGTTATTCTTCTCTTTACAAAAGACACATGGAGGGTGGGCTCCCAGTGCTCAGCTTCCACACAGAGTTCATACCAGGGTGCTGAAAAGGAGGCGGACAGCTGATTTAGATTCAGGAATGTGGATTCCATCCTGGTTGTGGAACAATGGAGCAGCTCTTGTCTACCCATCCACATCATAGGTTACATGGACTTGAACAGAGATTATTATGTCCGCCTATAACTGGAGCTGCGTTCACATTATCTGCAATGAAGTCCAGCACGTTCTTGTGTTGGACTCTTCCAAGGCTGTGCCTTGTCACCAAAGAGTGCAAACACGTTTAAAGATTAAAAATAGCAGCAGCAAAACAGCTACTACTACTACTTCATTCTGCACAGTGAATGTCAAACATGTAGGATCAAGAAAGAAAACAATTTTTGACTGGAGGGGGACTTTAAATCTAGTCTTATTGTGAGCATAGGTATAAACTAAATGTCTCCAGTGCTGCAATTATGCAGTGTATACATTAAATTACACTTATATATATTAACATAAAATGTTTACCTTAAGTTTAACTGATCTTCCTGTGTGTCTGTTTGCAGAGGTGGAGGACGTGGTGAATAGTATTTTATTTCTGCTGAGTGATAAGAGCAACATGACTAATGGAGTCACTCTGCCGGTGGACGGAGGCTTCCTGGCCTGCTGACCAACACAAGCACAGCAACCATCTGCTCAAAGGAAACATACTTTTTCTTATCAACTCACTGCATTATAAGAATAAACATAGATCAGTTTGTGTCAGTAATTAAACTCAACCTCTAATTTCCCTTTGTTATCTGTCCTTATTTATATGTATCTAGTGGTGAAGTTGCAGGTTGCAACCAACAGAATACCATTTGCTTTCTAAGCAAGTAGGAGAAACTACGGTGGCTGTAAAACTTGCAAAAGTCCCTATCTTGAGCCAGTGTTTGGGTTGTCCATTCTGGGATACTGTAGAAACATGATGGTTCAACATGGTGGACCCCACCATAAGAAGACCCAGTATTAAATATGGCTCATTGTAACCTAACAAAAACACCGTTCTTATTTTCAGGTGATTATACACTAATAAAAACATACCTATGGATATTATATTCCAATACTGACAAAAGATCATCTGAAATGTTACGCACTGGACCATTAAATTATTTGGTAATAAGTGAGGCTGTCCACTAAATTTTTTTTTTTTTTTATGTGTAACTAGGGGCTGTTGTGAAAGAAAGAAAAGGTGAAGAATAAATTATGACAGTATGCAGATTACCTTACATATACATTTGTATTTAGTATACAAAAAATTGAAATATTTCACCACACAGACATGTGAAGTAATAAAAAATAAGACAAACAGTTGGAACAAGTATACAAGTCATCTTACATTACATACGTACATGGCCAATGCATTTCATCATACAGCCTCTCCTAAGAATTACAGTGGGTCAAATAACCAGATAACTTCCATGCAATAGTAGATTAGAATTTTTCTCTGCGTTTCTGAGCTACATTTCGACACCTTAGCTAGGCAGGACCACACGACATGATTCAACCACAGTTTGCTATGCCAACCAAAGACAGCGTAACAGACTGGACTGCAGTGCTGCGTCTCACCACGCAGGGGAGACAGACACACTGCAGGCCTTGCAACCATACAGAAATGCATTTCATAAAGGTGCAATCTGCACTGTTTGCCACAATGACAAACTCCACAAAGATTGGCCCCTTTATTGTACACTGTTAGCAACACTTCTAACTTCAACATGAGTGACTATAATCCCTTTAGGTTGAATTGTTTTAGAGCTAAATATTCAGGTACATTTAGATAGATATTCATAACGCATTCCTTTTCTAAGGATTATTCTGTACATCACTAGATGTCATTAATATCCTTTTTTTTTCTTTCTTTATGTCCACAGATTGTTGAAAAGTCTTGTGTATTACTACAATACAATATGAAATAGTACCAAAAACTGGACACTAAAAAACTTGGCTTAAAACAATACTGTCTTTTATGCACTACCCCAAACTGTCAAACAAAGCTGTCTCACTGATACCGACACATACTCGTCCACACACACAAACAACCAGCGTTCATATACACGCCTGTGACACACACACACACTCTCTCT